GTTCTGTATTGAAGCAGACACCATTATAAGCCTAATGGTGATAATAACGGCAACAAATTCTAGGGAACAATAAATGTATTACTGCAATTAACAACATCAACATGAGAAATAAGAATTGGGGAAATTTTCACGTTTCTATGTTACACACTGCCATTGTCAGGAAGATGCTAAGAATTAAAATGTTTGAATGAGCTAGGAGATGGGCTCATGAAAAGGACGCAATGTTCTCTGTTAAAATCAGCCAGTTCTTATTAAAGTCTGACTTCAAGCATCAAGCTGTCAGGCTCAACAAAGTGGTAGATCATAAAGCCTTTCTTCCCTTCTGATAGACTTGATTATTTTCCAAGTATAAACAATTCTAATATAACTTTAATTACACTAATTACACTAATAGACTGGTAAAAAGTAATTTTTATTAGGGGCAGACTCTGCAGGTTGTCTTTGATCCTGAAGTTTGCAGCTATACAGGTTACAGATTTATTTTGTGCGAGCTAATCTAAAAGGGTTGACGTTAAAGTCGTTCAAAGTTTAATCATACCACATTCCTAGCTCTCGACATGTTTTCCTTTAGATGAAACCGTGTGGCTGACACAGAGAACTAAATTTCATAGATATGGAAGATACCTCCATTTTTGAAAAGCAGACACAATTACAATGAAACTCTTTCTTCTACCGATTTATTACTTAATTTTTACCACATTCGGACTACACAAGTTCTTACTGGCCTCACATCTACGTAAAAATTAAAATATTCCTCACATTTTTAATCTTTATTCTCGATATATATCGCAAGATTGCTAAACTGAATTAACAACTATCCTCATATATTGATCTATCACAGAAATTGTCATTGCAAACAATTAAATGATAATGTATATTGTATACATGATAATGTATACATTTCTAATTGAGTTGTGAACTCAAATCGTCCATAACTATACTATTTCATGCATCAGGTTTATGAAAAGCTTTGTATAACTCTTTAGCTACATTGCAGACAAAATAAGATCGATAAACACACAAATCACAAGTAAAAAGGTGCGTTTCTCACAATTACCACTAAAATCCAGCCAAATAACCAGATACCAGATGTTAATATACATAAGAAAGAAGAATCAAACGTTCGTCATACTACCAATAGGAATAAAAGTCACCTTTCAAGTAAGAATTATTTAAAATAATAGATTCTAAATTAAGCTTCATTTAGGTGTGGATTCTATCAGAGTGACGAACTTTGGCCGCTTGATAAAGATGTAAAATAGAACAAATAATCACAAATGAACAATTTAAAACTGTCTAAGGAGATTTTTCTGGGCCAAATTATTTCAAAAGAAAGAACAGTAGTGGTCCTAAACAATTGCATATTGTTCGCCAAGTAGGAATCCAATATTCCCCAGATTTTCATCAATCATTAACTTCGTTCGAATGGAACATGAATATGATGTCAAGATGGATGAAATTAGCTTGGAAGCTTATATTTAAAATGATGGGGTCTAGCCAGAGAAACAACGTACGGACAAAAACGAAGGCACTATGTGCAAGGAAAGAAGAAAAGTTTAGGAGCTTAACAATATACAAAGCACATAAATTTTGCGCGCATTTCTTCATCAACGCGCGCCAATTATTCCATATAAGGAGCATGGAGCATAAGGTCGCCATCTTCTACACAAATCTCTGCAAGTTGCGGTGTTTATTTTTAGCTGTATACCAATCTTCTGCTTGCTTATTTCACGTCATTAAGTCTCGTTTTCCGTAATATGCTCGCTTATCCTGTTATGCATACCTCATTTTCTCCCCATAATGTATGTTACGTGATGTCTGTATTTCAGTCGTGCGTTTATACACTGCATAGTTGGTATTGAACTTATTTCATCGTTAGTGTCACAGTCAGTGTATTTGGTCATATGGTGGCTGCTCATTGGTAAGGAAAACAATTCGAAATATTGTCATCGGATATCATTAGATAACGAATTCATGATATTACGCGACTCGGATATGGTATGTAAAATATTTCGAAGAATTCATTACAAAATAAACGATGTATCATCAGTCATTACGTCATGGTACTACGTACCTCCGCCCAGTCCTACAAATTTAACTATTCCTCACAGTATGCTGTCTAATGCTACTATATTTTCAGTTGCGAAAAATCACAAAACTACGCCCTCTTAAAATGTTGTATGTGTATTTTAATTTTCTGTTCTTAATTTTCTGTTTAAGTCCCCTGAATATTGATAATTAATCCACGATGACTATACTTCAAATTTGCATGTTTCCATTCGGCCGTTGTGCTCCGACTTAGCAGGAATTTTTAGAGTCTTCCAACATAGCTTGCATTTACACTACTACATTTTTTGCGCCTTTCGACTCCATTGGTTAATAGCGAATTGATAGCATTTTCCTTAGTGATGAGTGAAGAGAACTTATAATCTCCGCTATCTGATACTTAATTTTGTACGAATAATTTCTCGTACAAAATGATAAACCACACCTTTGAAGTTGTGGCATACATACTTTTAATCTTTTCACCATCACAGTAGTTACATGAAGATGTTTCATGCAAATGAAGCGAACTTTTGTCAGAGGATCTGTGAATCTAAAGTTTGGCCAGCTATTCTAACATTTACTGTCCTGAATCTGTTATTATTCGTCTACAACGTTTGTAAATTATGTAACCGCCGTGGACCCGCCAAACTATCTCTTTCTCATAACTCTCAAGAACGCACCAAGAAAAACATGCAGATCTACATTTCTCAGCATCTCGTACACAACCGTGACCCAAATTCCTCCGTAGTCATTCCGTCAACACTAGAAAGAAGTATCGATCCTTTTGTTCCTCCCACCGAGTACAACCTACCCGAGCAAGTCAACTGCACGACTATTTTCCCTCATCGCAAACTCTTCCTGGGTCGGATCGAGTGGTGTGGTTTCGAGGGGTTCCTAAAAGAGTGCGCTAATCCTCTGGAGATGCACCTTCACCGGGGACTGCGACATAACAACATTGTTAAGTTTTACTGGAACAACATTGCAGATATTCCTAAAGTTATGGTACATGAGGGTATGGACATCGAGAAGCAGCTCCCTATATCCTTCTACTGTATGGAGTACTGTCCTAGGGGTAATCTCAGTGGTTTTCTTGTCAGCCATGGTCATGTGATTGAAAAGAAGCTGTTATTTGGATTGATCAGTGACATCACAAGAGGCCTCCAATATTTACATATCTTGAAGATAGCCCACCGAGATATAAAATCAGAGAACATCCTGATACAAGGTCTGTTTGATGACTCAGGAAGAGTGGTTGCAAAAGTAGCTGATTTTGACCACGCAATCCACACTTTGAACGAGTTTGCGATGAGCCACGAGCGCAACAGAAAATGTCAATTCGGCAGTCCTTTATATACAGCTCCAGAGTTCATCCTGGAAACAATCCGACAACCTTGTGCAGCTGACTTCTTCAGACATGACATCTTCTCCCTGGGCCTAGTAGTGTGGGAGTGTCTGACCTGGATAAAGTGTCGGCACCACGCACGTGCTGCAAATGAGGGGGCTGCTCACAACCCTGAGCCCCTAACAGAGTCCCTCCTCCCCCATCCCACCAGCAATGAAAACACCGAAGACATCGGCCAGTACCGGCCACATGTCCGCTGCTCTTCAACCGTCCACCTGCCTCTTGTCAAACAGATTTGTGACACCCTCAAACTCAAATACAACCGGCAACAAAGGGAACTCCAAGTTAACAACCTGTTCCTCAAAGAGGGCCGCCTAATTGACAGCAAGTTGATGTTTGAGTTTTATACCAAGAACCCAGATGCCCGCCCAGTGCTGTTCCGAGATAAGGGCGAGGGCTACACACACGAGGTTAATACCATGATGGAGGGTTGCTGGCGGAGTGAGCCTGCGGGCAGGTTATCTATAGATCAGATCAGGGAGAAAGTGGACAATATCTGTCAGAGTATTGATGCTAGCTAGTTGTCATAGTTACACAAGATATCACATTATTAGGGAGGAGGTGGACAGTATCTGTCAGAGTATTGATGCTAGCTAGTTGTCATAGTTACACAAGATATCACATTATTAGGGAGGAGGTGGACAGTATCTGTCAGAGTATTGATGCTAGCTAGTTGTCATAGTTACACAAGATATCATATTACTATCACTGTTTTTTATTGCTTTGTGTTTCAGTAAAAACTTTTGGAATCGGTGGGGATGAAAATTGCAATATTTCGATTTGATTATCACAATTTTATTTTATAATCCAATTTTATTTTCTTGTTATAAATTGATTTCTTAATCACAATGTTGCTTGCTAATTTCAAAATTATTTATTATTTTCATAATTATTTTTGACAGAAGATGTACAATGTACATATGGTATTTCAGAATGCTTTCTATCTCATTCATTAATTTTTCAATTAATTTGATTTTGTTAATAATCATTTAATATCAGAATACTGAGCATGCTGTTTTTGAATGTATAAATTATTAACGCTTATTGCTAACTTTTCATGTTGACTGTCGGCTATTTATACATTGTTTTGAATGCTTATTGCTTGCTTAACTTTAACATTTTATTACAAGAATTGTTATGTTTTTTATCACGAAAATTGTATTTTTTACATATAATGAAAATTGCATGTTTTGTTGTGAAAATTGCATGTTTTATGGACGATTGAGCTATTTTATTATCTTTACTTAAGATGAGTCATTAATACTTAACCCATAATCATTGGCTGAGAAACAATCTCATTATATTCTAAATCTAAAACAGACCTGTTTAGTAAGTAACTATTAATATAACTACAAGTAACACTACGGTTAAAGAGTTGTCCACGTTTGCCGTTACAACCAAACATAGCATAAGTTTGAAGTTACTGCATGTCTAAAATGTATTTCAGAGTGCACTTAATTCAAATAAAGCATGATAACAACTTGCAGTATAGCTTATTACCAGTTTGTACTTATTTTAGTGTCTATTTAACCACACACTATCCTGTAGCCATTACAATGGGTGCCCTTCTCTCCCAGTTCTCCGCCGCTCTTAACTCTCTGATTGGGAAGAAAGAAATGAGGATCCTGATGGTGGGACTGGATGCGTCTGGTAAAACTACAATACTCTACAAACTGAAACTGGGAGAGATAGTTACCACAATTCCTACCATCGGGTTTAATGTGGAAACCGTGGAGTATAAGAACATCAGGTTAGTTACCACTATTCCTACCATCGGGTTTAATGTGGAAACAGGTTAGTGTGGAAACAGGTTAAGGGGGGGGGGGGGGGGGGTTCACCCTGATTTTTTTTGTGAAACTTTGTTTTGAGATAGCAGTTGACCAACAAACTAGGACCAGTGACCGAACTTTTGAGGGGGTCCCGGACCCCAACCGCCAAACGGTACCCGCGGGACAGCCACGCCCATATTTGGTCCAAATTAGGCCCAATTTAGCCAAATACCCTGAACATGCCCAAAATCCAGATTTGGGGTGCTCTACTTGTAGCTAGTGATTCCCTGAACTGGTATATAATGAATTTTCATCAAGATTGGACAAAAAATGACTGAGTTATGAGCAAAAAACCATATGACCATATTTGGGCATACGCACCAAATTTGATCGATTTTGGCCCATAAATTGGTCAAATATCAATATTTTTGAATGAAACCAACTTTATATGGAAGGTAAGCCTATACTACACATTATCTATGATTATCAGCTCAGTATCTACCTAATTGTGGATTCTATGTTCAAATAATCGCAAAAAATGAACAAAATTGCCCATATCTCAGTTCGCGATATTTTTTCGCAAAATTTGCACTGCTAAATTTAGAATTTGGCCGCCAAATTTTTTTAAAGGCCTAACTCAAAATTCTGTCCCAAAACTTAAGGTCATGAGACAATTCTACGTTGATTCTGAAAATTTCATGAAAAAATATTGAAACCCTATTGAGTTCTATTGTTTTGAGCGAAGTCAGTTTTGCAAATATCGCGAACTGAGATGTGGGCAATTTTGTTCATTTTTTGCGATTATTTGAACATAGAATCCACAATATATTGACCAATTTATGGGCCAAATTCGATCAAATTTGGTGCGTATGCCCAAATATGGTCATATGGTTTTTTGCTCATAACTCAGTCATTTTTTGTCCAATCTTGATGAAAATTCATATACCAGTTCAGGGAATCACTAGTTACAAGTAGAGCACCTAAAATCTGGATTTTGGGCATGTTCAGGGTATTTGGCTAAATTGGGCCTAATTTGGACCAAATATGGGCGTGGCTGCCCCGCGGGCACCGTTTGGCGGTTGGGGTCCGGGACCCCCTCAAAAGTTCGGTCACTGGTCCTAGTTTGTTGGTCAACTGCTATCTCAAAACAAAGTTTCACAAAAAAATCAGGGTGAACCCCCCCCCCCCCCTTAATGTGGAAACAGGTTAGTCTAGTGTGGAAACAGGTTAGTTAAATTGAAAAGCGTTTACAATTTTTTTTAAAATAGAATTTTCTTTTTTAGATTTTTTGAAAAGAAGTTGCACCTGGTACAGTACTAAACTGTGAGGTCTGTGTGCAAGCGCCTGTCTGAGCCAGGGCCATTCCAGTTCCTTTGAGAGTAGGTAGTAGTATTAGGAGGTTACAAATATTCCTACCCAGCTACCAGTCCCGTTTGTGTTGTTGCAACAGATGTGAAAATTATGAATTAAAATTAAATAAGAGTTTATTATTTAAAGTACAATATATATTATGACAAGTTATTTGACTGCTGTAAATTAAGTTATATTATAGATTATAGGATTGTGTAAGTGTCAGGATGGTGTTAACTTAGGTTGAGAGTATGGCCAAATGCAAATGTAGAAATTGTAATGGTTTTGTACTCCAATAAATCACCGTTTGAAAGTGAGGTGCAGTCCTAGTCAGTTTGTTACAGTTCCGAACCAGTCCCAGCCCGTAGAATATTTCCTGATGAATTTGCTAGTTTAAGTTAGATTTAATCCAGCGACGTTTTTAAAACACTGATGTATTTAGTTCTTCTATTCTTATTGCTTGTCTTTAAAATACTGTACACTCTTTGTAATATCCCCACCCACTATAAAACGCTGATTTGTGCAGTTTATTTTATGGTTTTATGTTACATAGTTATACACCCCTTCAGCTACTACATTCGTTATTTGGGGCTAGGAGTGGTCGAGAATCCTTTTCGGCGCTCCACATTCTACTGTTGGAATTATAAAAGCAAAATTTTACAACTTCCCTCCCATTTTTAACGATGAGACGATCTGAGCTTTAGTTATCTGGTAAATTTCTGGTTGATAGAGTAGATGAACTTATATCTTACAAAAACCCCGTAACGTATGTTGTGGATATCTTACTATATATAAAGCGAGACGATATATATGTGTTTATCCGTGCCATTTTACTGACACCACGGCATCAACTTTAACGCGACTTTCCGCTAAAACCGTAAAAGATTTACAACTGATACTTTTTTGACTGGGTCAAATGCTTTAATGGCCTCCAAATCAGCATGAAAAAATAAAAAATCGGCCAAGGAATAGGAATTTAAGAGCTCAAAATGTGGACCCCAAGTGGTGTCAAAAACGCGAATTAAATAGGTAATACTTATGGTTGGTGGGCTAGACAGTGAAACACGCAAATGTAGTGTATACTTCGTTAAATTACATCATTAGCTACAAAGGGATTAAGTTGGTTAGATTTATTAGTACTATATATACGAAGATCTAAAATGCCTCAAACAATCGAGAATCAAATAACCTAAATAAAATACACAAGGTAAATGGAGATGAACTACACAAAAATATAGCTTCAAAAATGAATCTTCAAAAAAGAAGAAATAAAAACTAAGAACCTTATCTTTCAACTTTGCATCTATTTAAACCCAAGCAATTAGTTCTATACTTCTCAATATACCTAAATTCCTCCCTATTTAATCCCCTGGGGTTACATTCTTTCAAAATGGCAAATTTATAGTTGTCTATAGTAAAAATGTCTCTGTGATGTTCATAGGCATGAATCGAAAGGGCTGATTTATTACGATCCTCTACTTTAAAACAGGCTCTGTGTCCATTGACACGTTTATGAAAGTTTTGCATTGTTTGCCCGAAATAAGTGTCTTCTACAACTATCTCATAACCTTCTTCCTTTATAAGATTACAAAGCTTGCGCTTACATTGGGCCACATAAATAACATTTTTAGATTTACAATTATATCTGATAGGAACTACTAAAATAAATAGGTAATAATCATTTTAGTCTCTTGAGTCTTGACACCATTTTAGGGTTATACGGGTTCCTGCTAGTAATAATAACGCTAAGCACTAGAGATAAATCTAAAATCACGTTTAAAGTTTACCTTTAATGATATTTAACTACAATCCCTTTCAGTTTTACGGTGTGGGATGTGGGTGGTCAGGACAAGATCAGACCACTGTGGAGACACTACTTCCAGAACACCCAAGGCCTCATCTTCGTTATCGACAGTAACGACAGAGAACGCGTGAACGAGGCACGTGACGAGCTCATGCGCATGCTAAACGAGGACGAGCTGCGGGACGCTGTTCTGCTCGTCTTCGCCAACAAACAGGATCTTCCGAACGCGATGAACGCGGCGGAGGTGACCGACAAGCTTGGTCTACACAGTTTGAGGAATAGAACGTGGTATATCCAGGCAACATGTGCCACCAGCGGAGATGGACTCTACGAGGGACTTGACTGGCTCAGTAACACGTTGAAAAACAGAAGTTAGAGGTCACGTGATACTAGAAATCTGTCACGTGATACCTTGAACACTGAACAGTTGTCTATTGGGCTATCATTCCAACACCGACAACATCGGTTATGTGAGCTTGTTAACAGACAAATTCATAGCCTTAAAAGTGGGATTTTGCTGGCAAAATGCAGCTTAGGGTTTTGAATATTTTATTTCTAGAAAAAGTCTTGCGTTTTTGTAGTTGCAACAGATGCGAAAATTATGAATTAAATAAGAGTTTATTATTGAAAGTAGAATATATGTTATGACAAGTTATTTGATTGCTGTAAATTAAGTTATATTATAGATCATAGGATTGTGTAAGTGTCAGGGTGGTGTTAACTTAGGTTGAGAGTATGGCCAAATGTAGAAATTGTAATGGTTTTGTACTCCAATAAATCACTTATCACCGTCTAAATGTGAGGTACAATCAGTTTGTTACTGTTCCAACTTTAGTTATTTGTTGCAAAAACGCTGACCAAAGTTCAAAATAAAATTCTCCCAATTCTCGACCTATTGATACTACCCGGCAACAATTGTATGAAATGGTAACTTTTGAATTATCATAATACGTATATTCATGTGGTCATTGATCATATTAATTATTTAAATTATGTCAATTAAAATTTGTTGGATTTATTTGATGCTATTAGTAGAATATTGCAGTAATCTTTGAGTTTGTTTCCTTGTATCATAGAAGATTTAGATCAATTGAAGCAACTTAGAACTTAAATATAGTCGCCAATTTTTTAGTTTAAGATCTTAGCATATATAATAGAGGAATGTACTTCAATTTTCAGCAATTAGGCAATTGCAAAGTTAGTGAAAATGAGACCTACCAATTGTGTTTTCCAAAGTTGTTGCTGGTCAAGAATTCGAATTATCTGTTTCTTTTTCACATTGTTGTATACCCAATTGTGATATATAGTATCCGTTTAAATTCATGTAATCACCCCCGAAAAGTTTGGTCTACATTCTGTCTCCAACTATCGAATCAATTTAAATTCTACATAACATAATTTTCATCTGCCGTTCTCAAGTCGTGTGCCGATCAAAATAAAGCGGGGAATTAGGAAATCGTTTAAGATGACTTAACCCATTAGGGCGATGGGCGTTTTTAACCCCCCCTTTTTTTTCTAGACAAAAAACCCAAAAATTACTAAACGCTATAACGAATCAAAGCATATATACTCAAAATTTTGGGTTTTCTTTATAGTACCAATAAATTTTGAGCTAATGCTAAGATTCGTTAAGCGTTTAGTAATTTGGTTTTTCGTTAGAAAAGGGGTTAAAAAAACGCCCCTATGCCCTAATGGGTTAAAAACATTAAACGAGGCACAAAAAGGGCCCCCCGGCGTTGAAACAACTTAAAAATTTAATGAGTATTTTTTGGACGTGTTCCGAATCTCTTGCTGACTACTGCAAAATTTTAAATTTTGACTTGGGGTTATATTATATAAGTATAAACCGAACCCCATAAGGGGTTAGGCCCGTTAAATTTAAATTTTTCAAGTACAGTTTAAAAGAGTTTACATGAAACCCCCCCGGGTTTTCATTCAAAGCTGTGGCATAATTACTTGTATACGTTGTATACCGCCGGCACGAGGGGCCCCGGTCCCTGATCGAAAAATCGAAGTGGGGTTGACCCTGATAAAAAATAATCGGGGCGACCCGCCCATAAGAAAGGTTTGGCATCGTTTGACATACGTTAAAACCACTTTTCGCGCGCCAAAATTCAAATTTTTTGAAAAAGTTTGGCCGGGGCGCGCTACTCTAGCACTTGATAAAATTTCGAGAAGAAAGCAGCGCGCGCTACTTCGAAAAAATTTTAACGAGTAACTCGCGTAAAAACTTGGAAACGAAACAATGAAACAGGAAAAAAAAGCATCGTAAATTAAATATTCTATTGAAATCATGGCTACTGCCTGTAAACTTTATTTTTTATTCGTGTTTGGGACACATAAGGTATTTTATTTTCGACTGGTCGTTTGTACAAAAAAAAAAAATACACTCGTTGAACTGAAGTTGGGAGTTTGGGTTCTCTATAAATTAACTTCTCAGATTGAAACTTTATTCAACAAATAAGTTACAGGGCCTTTTTGTAATAACAAGTGCATCGATCGTCGTATCGAGGGTGTTTATTTTTATCGCAAATGCTTTGAGGTTTTTTGTGGTTTGAGCTAAGGAAACTAAAATTAAAATAAAATTCCCCCCTTTTTATCGCGTGGGGGACGCGATTTCCACCACTGATATAAGTTTGATCAGTAAACTTCATGACAAAAAACCCCCTATTTTTTTACCGCACAGTACACGTACCTTTCCCCTAAAATGGAAAATATACAGGGTGGGCCAAAAATCCATCCCATACGTTGGCCTTAATCTCCGCCGTGTTTTTATATTTGGAGTGTGCTTTGAGTTGGAACTGTACTTATGGTTCGAGTTCCGTGTAAAATTTAAAAATTCGAATTTTTAGACCCCCCCATTAAAATATTAAAACCCCTAATTTTTTTTCTCTGAACATGCTAAACGCAAATTTTTTCAGAAGGGTGATTTCAATGTTGCATAGATTGAAAACATGGGGGCAAAGGGGTTTAAAAAATGACGAAGTTTTGCTTTTTTCTGTCCCTTGTTAACGTATTGACGGGGGTTTATGTGACCCCGTGACCCCACATTTAAATTTGGGCCCCAACATTCCCCTTGTTTAAGGGGGTAGTTAAACGGGGCACCTTTCACGTTTTTTGGTAAACCAATCACCTTTCACCGAATAAAAAACTCGTTTTGTTCATATCTCGGTCATTGAAAAACATTTCTTTTTCTTTCAGGACAAAACTAATTCGAAGGCCAAACCAATTCGTAACATTTTAGCTTGATCCGATATCAAAAACATCAAAAAATGTAAAAAGAACCCCCCTTTGAAAAAAATAACGCAAATTTTTTTTCGATTTGAAAAATTTCCCGAACCATGGTGGAATATACTAATTCAACCGAAAGAGTATTTAATTGGCTCCAGTGACGGGGTTTTTAAAAAGGCCCAAGTATGGTACTGATTTTTGGCCCCCCCGTAAATTATATTTGTAGTGCGTGCATTTCTGGGTCGGGGCCCGCCCAAAAAATGCTTGGAAAAAGATGGGCCGAGATGCACCACTGTGCCTCCCGACGCAAAGGATTGACATCGGAATCAAAATTTAACTACAATCTAGAATTTTTTGGGCAATCGCCGTCCCAAATTTGCTAGCTTTTGGCCCACGTTTAGTCATAAAATTTTTAAATGGCCCAATTTTTAAAAAAAAAACAAAAAAGGTTCGGGTTAGCCAAACTAAACAAAAAATGTATTAATCTCTTTTTTCAAATCGCAGCATAATATCGGGTTTAATTTTGTGTTATAAACATTATCTTATGATAATTCTGTTTAAACTGCCCCCCATCGAGTCGCGCGTTGCTCTGCCTCTGCGAAGCAGAGAACGTTTTAAATTGACGATGTCAATATTCACTCGGCGCGGACAGTACGCATCTTGCCGATCAAAAGAAAGAACCCTTTGTTGATGGCCTTTTTGAGTCGCGGCGCGCACAGACGATCCGCTACAAGAAACGATTTGAAATTTTTTCGTATCCAAAACAGAGATATTATTAATTCGCCTTCGGCGGCGCGCGCTTCGCGCGCGAAAGGGGCATCAACGTATGTAAGAACGATCGACGATGCGAAGCAAAGTATTTGCCGGGCGGTGAGCGGCAAGCCTCCAAGTTATTAGGGAAATTGAGTTGAGGTGCACGATAAAAAAAAATTACCTGGGACCCACTAATGTTCATAAAAAAAAATTTTGGCCGGAGAAGTCAGGCTGACGGGGCCCAGTAAAATAAACTTGCTCGGGTTTTAAAAAAACGAGGCCGGGCCAAATAATAATTCTATGGCTCAGAAAAAATTCTTTCCCTAGATTAAAAGGCGCGTGGTATAAAGCCTACTGGCACAAAGCCCGGGCCCCTGTGCTGGGGGGATTTTAAAGTTTCAATTTCCTGCAGATAAAAGAAGCTTGACGGATTTTCTGCTTTTCCCGTCTAAATTTCTTAAAAGTACACGCCCCCGGCATAGCACTTTTTTTATTTTTTCTTGAAAATCTATTTGCGTTTTAATTATGAGTGAATTTTATAGTAAAAAACAAAAAGAAACATAAAACGCCGCGAAGGGGAAACACTTAACTAAAAACAAAAAATAAAAAAAAAAGGGGCCCCATCCGATAGCAATTCAGTTTATAAAGTTAATGATGGTTTTAATCAAGTTTAGCCTTTAAAGGGGTTAGGTTTTAAATTAGGGTTAATTTGTAGCGCGGCTTTTACTGTGCCGCGCCGCGCACCAAAAGGCTTCTCAAGCAGATCGGCGGATGCGCTATGTGCCGCGCGAGGCGATGAATTGCATCTCAATTTAAAGGGGTTAAAAAAAGAAATCAAATTCAAAGTAAAAACATTAACGGGCGGGGGGTTTTATTGTTTGTATCACGTGGGCCCCCACGCGCTTCACTAGAGTTTCTACGTACAGGGGAGCCGCGCACTCGTGCGCGGGGGGGTCATACCGTTAAAATTTTATTGTTATTTGAAGTAGAAATAGTCGAGTGGTGTTATATAATATTGTCCCCGGGGCCCAATTTGTAGGTTTAAAACCCTCCCAGGGGGGGCCTCGAGTTGGACTCGCGATGGTCCTATTATTTGGGACGTTGATTCACGATGCAATCCTTCAGTTCGCAGTGCAGCCGAGTCAACCCTTTGCAGCCGGTGGTTGCAAAAAGTTATTGATCGCGGGCCCCCAGTATGCTCCGCAAACAAATTTGGCGGAAATTTTGGGAACAAATTTTTTAGGGTATCCCCTTAACCCAATTTATCGTTTCGAAAAAATGTTAAATGTTAATTCTTTTTTGTTTTTGAATTTTTAAAATTAAAACAGAAAAAATTGGGCAGGGGTGTTTTTTTTTTGGTTTTTTTTTAAAAGTTTAAATATTTCCCCGTTAATTAATCGAAGCCCGGGGTTTATTGACAGAAAAGTGTCTTTTATATCACGATCACGGTCATTATTATAAGTATAACCACATACCATGTCATAACATCAAAAATTGGACGTGACAGGGTTCGTAAATTTTAGGAGTCGCAAAAACCTTGTATCACGCGGTGACCCCCATGTAGGCGTGCCCTTGAAATAAACCCCGGCGTGACCATTGAATGGTTTTTTTTGTCTTATTTCGGCCAGCACATTTTTTTGGAAACAATCGAAATTTTATTATCTTCCCATTAAAAAATTTTGTTGAAATTTTGGTCAGCTTTAGAAACATTTTTTTATAAACCCTAATTTAGTTTAAAAATTTCGATGCTCAGATTGGGTTTACAACGAATTTAACCTATTGTCATTTTTAGCCCCTTAATAAAGGCCAATTTTCCCCCAACAAAATTGGGTTCGGATTTAAGTTATTGAAGGTTCTGAAAAAATTTTCAGCATGATTTTAGTGGGGAACCGACGTTTGACGAATAATACGAAAAAAAATCAACGAATTTCGTCAAATTACGCGATTTTTTCCCAAAATTTTGCCCCAAAAAACCCGCGCCATCAATATGGCCCTAGGCGAAATTTTCATGATCTTTCCCAAAAAAAGGTTTTGAAAAATTTGTATGTGAAATTCTCCAGTCTCTAAAAACGGGGTCAAAAATTTTGAAAACCCGAGAAGTTTTTTTTAGTGCACGCCTCCCATAGTAGAGGCTTTTTTGGGGAAAAACGTTTTTTTTGCTACGAGTTTAGAAACCTACCCGTAATTGGAAAAATTTGAGATGTCAAAGGCGAAAAATATGTAAAAAGTATAAATTTGGCGTTATTAGTCACGTGCATCCCAAGGGCCGTTTTAAACTTTGACAGTTATTACT